GGCCTCGCCGTCGCCCGCAGGGCGCCCGCAGGGCGCTCACGCTCGGCGCCAGGGCGGCGACGGGCAGCGCCAGGGTGAGAGCCGAGGAGCCTCCTCCGTTCCCAGACCCCCTCGAGCAATTCGGGGATGGACAGACCTCCCTTTAGTAAAACGTGGTTTAGTGAAAACGACCTGAGGCCCAAACCTGGCAAGCGCAAGCCTGGAAAATAACGGCCGCGGCGCCCTCTCGAGAGCCGAAAACGGACAATTCACTAATCGACGTGTCACTGTTGGGGGTTCTGTCCGCCCCCGAGCAATGAACAAATCACGACGGGAAGTTGTTCCTAATTTTCTGCCTCTGGAGGCCCTCACCGGGCCCCGGGAGCGTCAAAAAACGACTCAGCATGCAAAGCCGGTCATGGGGAAAGGGTCGGGACCTCTGGGGGTCGACGTAATGAAAAAATCGTTACGTCGGGGGTCTGGGAGCCAAGGAACCTCCTGCGTTTGTCCTTTTTGTTCCCGCTCCTTCTGCTTCTCCCTCTCTCCCTCCCTTCGCCGTCCCCTCCCTGCCTCCCTCTCCCTCCCCCTTCCCCGTCCCCCATCCACCCGCCCCTCCCTGCCTCCTTCCCCCCCGCGCCCCCTCCTGCACCCTCATTTTCAGTCAGCGCACGAGAGGTGCCCACGGCGGCGGGGGGGGGGCCCAGGGCGAAATGAGACGAAGCCAGGACGAGGATAAAATCGGGCGAGGATCAATCGAGAATCTCTGAGACGTCGCGGTTCTGGAGGATGCCTCGGGCGCCGCGGCCTTCTCGGAGCGCGCCGGAACGCTCTGGAGCGGAGTTACCCTCGTCCTGGCCTCAGGGGTCGGGCATGTCCCCCTACGGGGGGGTCCTGGGCGAAAAATCAAGCACGCACACCAAACAACAATATGTACCTCAGAACGGTAAAAAACAGATGCCCCAACAAAAAATCGTCCCCAGACTATTTCCTGCCCGTGTTTGCAGATCCCTCCGGTCGAGGCACGGGCCCGACTCAGAGCCTGGCCCCCCCCCGGGTGCGGCGAGACGGCCCCGAGCCGCCCGCCCGCGCCCGAGGCGGCCGGGGGCGGCGGCGGGCCCCCCCCCCCCCTGAAGGGGCCCTGGGAAAGGATCCCCCATAGTCCCACCAGCCCTCTGGGCGTCGGTGGTTTAGAGCGTTTCCTCTTCCACCCCTCCTTCTTCCCCTTCGGGGAGGGGTTTACCCCTCCCCCTACCCCCTCCCCACTGACCTGGACAGGGGGGGCCGCGGGTAGTTCGAGCGTCCAAGACGGCCCAACACGGCTCCAAGAGGGCCTCAGGGAGCTCAAGATGACCTCCAAGATGGCTCAAGATAGCGCAAGATGCCTCAAGATGGTCCCCATGATGTTCCAAGACGCTCCAATAACTCCCCAAGACGGTTCCAAGTGCCCACAAGAGCATCATTGGGATGCATCCAAGAGGCCAAAATGTTTCAAAACCCTAGGGAAAATCAATGTTTTTGGTGTTCTCAGTTTTTCGCTTGCGATGCACATCCGACGCGTCAAGATGGCTCCAAGATGGCTCAAGATAGCTCCAAGAGGGGCCCAAGAGAGCCTCAGGATGGCTCCAAGAGCGGCCACGAGCGCTCCAAGAGCGATCCAAAAGGGGTCCAGGAAGCGATTTTTGGAGCTCCTGGGGGGGGGCTGTAATTAGGGAGCCCCACTTCCTTGGCCGATGTCCTCTAAAATTGCCCCAAGAGCGCCCCAGCAGGGCCTTCAAGGGCGCCCAGACGGGTCCAAGAGGCCCCCAGGAGGCCCCCAAGAGACCCCCAAGAGGCCCCAAGAGACCCTTTTGGCTCTATTTTGGCCTCCTGAGGGGGCAAAGATGGCCCCAAGAAGCGCCCAGGAGGCCCCTAAAGGCCCCAAGATGGCCCCAAGAGGCCCCAAGAGGCCCCCAGGAGGCCCCAAAGAGGATCCCGAACGGCCCACAGAGGCCCCCCCGAGGCACCCAAGACGCCGAAAAGCCCCTCAGGACGACCCTCTACTCGCCTGGGCGTCGTTTCTGGACGGGCTGGTGGGGTTACTTTTTTTCCTTTTTTTTACAGCCGCAGGCGGAAGCGCCAGCGGCGGGAGGTCGCGAACGGGCCGCGGACGCGACTAAATTACCTAACGCGCGCTGGTGGGGATACGCGAAGCGTCTAGAATTTCCCATAGTTTCTGGGTTTCTGTCTTCCCCCCCACTGCCCCTATTTTCCCATATTTTCTGGATTTCTGTCTTCCCCCCACTGTCCCAATTTTCCCATACTTTCTGGATTTCTGTCTTCCCCCCCACTGCCCCTATTTTCCCATAGTTTCTGAGTTTCTGTCTTCCCCCCCACTGCCCCTATTTTCCCATATTTTCTGGATTTCTGTCTCCCCCCCCCACTGCCCCTATTTTCCCATATTTTCTGGATCTCTGTCTTCCCCCCCACTGCCCATATTTTCCTATATTTTCTGGGGGTCGACGATTCATTGTGTCTGTGTGCTTTTTCCCCTCCTGACCCCTATCCCCCCCCCCCGAGGCGGCAGCCAGCGCGCGTGCAGTCACGTGGGGCCGGAGGGATGCACGGCGAGGGCGCGGCACTCGAGCAGGATAGTTCCAGGGAGCCGAACTCTCTCTCTCTCTCTCTCTCTCTCTCTCTCTCTATATATATACACACACACCGACGCCTCTGTCTGGCCTCGCACTGGATATCGCACGGGAGAGCGCAGCCTGGTGTATACGGGATCCTGGTGCGACCCCTGGTCTCCGCAGGAAAGCGGGGGGAAACAAGTGCACACCACACCAACCCGACGTCGTCCCGACCCTCAAAAAAAGTCCTGGGATTGAAAAGCCGCAGAAAAAGTCGGGTCGGAAGGATGCACGACGAGGGCGTGACACTCGAGCAGGATACGCTCGGGGAGTTGACCTGGAACCCTAAATAAGGAGCGAGGCCCATTTTTCCATAAGTCAAACTTCGATTTCCCATCGAAAACCCATGGAAAACCAAAGGGAAACTGTAAATCAATCATGGAACACCGAGCCCCTTGTAAATCAATCATGGAACACCGAGCCCCTCCCCAACGAACAGGGTTCCTTCTTCAGCGCCCCGACTGTAGTAAGGATGCGCGGGAAGGATGCAAGGGCCTTGGAGCGGACGTTTTCCGTGCGGAGCGCAGCAGAACGCCGAAGGATGCCAAATACCGAGGGGGCAAAGGATGCAGGGGTAGCCTTGGGAAGTTGCCCCATCCTTACAATCATGGTTGACTGAAGGTCCGGCATGTCCCCCTTCAGGGGGAATTTGGAGGACAAGTTAAACATATCTTAATACAAGAATTAAGCATTGTCCCTCGACTATTTTTGACTATTTTCGAATGTTCCTCCAATAGAGGGACAGACCCGACTGAACGTTAGGAAAAAACTCCTGGGAAGTCTTCGTGGGAACGGTTCAGGGCGATGAAACCCGAATAGAAAGCCACAACGCCGGATTACGCCAGAGTGAGCTTGGGATTCTGCCGGCTGAAGCGGGATTGAGCGGGAGTAAGCCTGACTAGGCCGGATTAGCCCAGACTCATCCGGATATCGACTTTGAGAAAATCAGCGCCGATGTAGAATTCAAACTCCCAGGAGTTGCATCCCAGAGGATGCAAGGGCCCTGGGCGCCGATGCCGAAGCTCTCGAGCGGGGCTGGCCATCGAAGGTGGTCGACGATGCACCGAAGGTGACCGAAGAGGATGGGATGCCAGGGTACCCTTGGGAAGTCGATCATCCGTACTGTCAGCTTCACTGCACAAGGCGGCGACGAGGCGGCCCTGGGCGGCAACAGGCGACCTCCCCTAACAAAAACAGGCCGGCGACGCACTCAGAAGAGCAGCGAGAACCCCGAAGGCAAGCGCTGTCTGGGGGATTGGACCGAGATTTGAAGAACTGGTTGCAAAACCGAGATGCTCACTGAATGAGCTGTACGTCCGAATACAACGTTGTGCTTTGCCCACCTGTCCTTTCTTTTAATAAGAAATGGCTTGGCGTCAGTGAGAAAGGCAGATAAATTTGATGTACCATACTATTGGAATGACTAAGTCAAAACAAAAAACGAAGGGTGGTTGGGATGAGCAATCGTTTTATTCATTGCATCATTGGCGGTCTCCCTGGCGAGACCTCCAGGGTCAAGAGGCCAAGGCCGTGCCGCACTCCGGCCGCATGGGCGCCCGAAAAAAACTCTGGCCAGGAAGCTCGCCCCAGGGACGCGGCCGGGACCTTCTGGGGCCTCGTACTGCCAGCATCAGATCGGCGGAGGCCAGTTTTTCAGACAGGAGAAGAGGGAGGAGGAGGAGGAGGAGGAGGAGGAGGAGGAGGAGGAGGAGGAGGAGGAGGAGGAGGAGGAGGAGGAGGATTCAGACCCTCCCCGGGGGGGACCACTGGGGCCCCCCTCCCTGGCGCGCGGGGCGCGCTAGGGGGGGCGCCGCAGGCGCCGCGGAGGGGGGCCCAACGCCGATGCGAGGAATCCGCGCGGAGCTCCGAACGTTTTTGTGCTCATGCCTCTGGTTTTTCCTCTCCTCGCAGCCCCGAGGTGGAACGGGCAATCCCCCCTCTGCCCCCCTCCCCCCTTCTGGCAACCCCTGGGAGCCTCCCCCTGTCATCTGGCTGGCTCACGCGAGCAGACGCCGCTCGAGCGCGCGCTTTCTAAATCGAGCACCGCCCGCCCGCGCCAGTGCGCTCGAAAGACGGACTTCAGAGACATACGCGGGCTCCTACGAGCTGCTACCGACCCCCTCCCCACAATTGGGCGCCCGAGTTATCTTGGGTAACTCGGGTCCGGGGTAACTCGGATTTGGATTCCCGGAAAAGGAACCCGAGTTAGCCCTGACCCGAGTTACCCCTGATGATGTGGGGCTCTGGACGCCCGAGGTATCCGGGGTAACTCGGGTCCGGGGTAACTCGGGTTCGGACTCCCGAAAAACGAACCCGAGTTAGCCCTGACCAGAGTTACCCCTGATGATTCGGGGCTCTGATCCTTGGCCACGGGGCCGCCAATGCTGCCCAGGGCGATGGCGCTCTCGTGCCTCACCATGGGGTGCTCCTCCGGCGGCGGGAAGGACGACGTGCTGCGCGGGGCCGTCCCTCGCCACCCTCCTCCGCCCTCCTGGGCTCGCACTCCGCGGCCGCTGGGAATCGCCTGCCCCTTCTGGCGCGGCGACGCAGGTGCTGACTACCTACCAGACCACCCCAACCCAACCCGAAGACCCGAATTTGACCCGAATTTCGGGTTGGGGGGGGTACGGGTTCCATGTGTTTTTTCAACGTTCCCCGACCCCCCCCCCACTGGAAATGGATGGCAAATTGAGGCCTTCGGGTTGGGTTGGGGTGGTTTGGTAGGTGGTGAGGTGCAGTCGGGAGCAAGAGCACCGTGCCGAACTGCTCCCCTCTGCAAAAAATGTTGGGCTTAGGCGGGCGGCGCATGAAGACTGGCGTCTCGTCGGCCCACCGGGCTCCCATCGCCAAGGCAGAGGCCGGCGACAGGACCAGCCCCCAGAGAAACTCACATCGGCCTTGGGGGGGGGGGGGCTCCAGGTGTGGCCCAGGCCCTGGTCACGTAGGGATATCCTGTGGCCGATCTCCTCCCCTCCCCTCCGAGAGGCCTCCCAGCTGGGGTCCGAGTAGACGAAGTCGGAGGATCGTGCTGCATCGCCGACGTCTCGGCGATGCATCGGCGAAAACGGCGATGCATCGGCGCTGCCGGCGTGGAGAACATCGGGCTCCACATCGAGCTGCATCGCCGATGCATCCGCGATGCGGCGCAAGGCCCAGACCCCCTCCTCCAGCTCATGCTACAGTGGACGCCAGTCCACAACAAACCTTCCACAAGAAACCAAACCTTGAGAACCCAGGAAGCCCTGCCTCTTGGTTTGGGAACGTTACGACCTCCACGGCAAAACCATCGAAACACGAGAAAACCCAGGGCACAGTGTAGGCAAGCAGGGTGTTTCTTGGCATGGGTCTCCACTGTACTTCCTCGCAAGCGTGCGCCTCCTCTTCGTGGTCCTCCCGATCTTGACCGCCCTCCCACCAAGCCGCCCCTCTCACACCTCGTCCCCCTCCCCGGCGCCCGGGAGCGGGCGGCCCGAAGCGTCGCCAGGGGGGCAGTCCACGCCTGTCTCAGCCCGGCGAGGAGAAAAGCGGCGAAACTGTCTCCTCCTCCTCCTCCTCCTCCTCCTCCTCCTCCTCCTCCGGCGAAAGTCTCTCCTCCTCCTCCTCCTCCTCCTCCGCCTCCCTCCTCCGCCTCCCTCCTCCGCCTCCTCCTCCTCCTCCTCCTCTTCCTCCTCCTCCTCCCCCTCCTCCTCCTCCTCCTCCTCCTCCTCCTCCTCCTCCTCCTCCTCCTCTCCTCCTCATCCTCTTCCCCCTCCCCCACCTCCTCCCCCTCCTCCTTCAGTTCCTCCATTTCCTCCTGCTCCTCCTCCCACTGCCCCGCCACCCCCAAGTGCCCCCTCCCCTCCTGCTACCAGGGTAGCAGCATGGGAGGGGGGCAAAGCGGGTAAACAGTGGACGCTTCCAGGAAACTTGAGGCACACATGGCTGGATACACATGAGGAACATTTCCCGAGGCCTTGCGCTGGATGCACATGCGGAACCCTGGCGTGCCTGGTCATAGAGAAGGGACTGACGCTGGAGCGTCACCCGGCCGCATGTGTATCCAGCTCTGGCCCAGGCCAGCCCCGTCATGTGTATGTAGTTTTCTGCCACCATGCTCGCTGCCATTGCTGGTACCATGCCAACTTTGGAAACATGGATGTCCAAAGGCTGCCCTTACTCACGGACCTATCGGAACGTCAGCATAAAATAATCAAACGGAATTGATCCGAACCCCGTCAGTGGAGGAGATGAGTCCGATACCCACAAACAACCAAACAGCGACAATAATGGTCGTCTCTCCCCCAAGGGGTGCCTGATTGAAGAGTGTGCAAAGGCGAGGGAATGAAATATGATGGAGTAGAGGGGGGGAATCTAGAGGGTAGTGAGGGGGCGACGAAGAGGCCAAAATGATAGGACGGAGAAATGACCGTGAGATCCTTATGCTTCGACTTGTGTCACACTGCTCGTTTTCGCTCACTTTCGGGCCCCAGGACCCTCATACATCGATCCGGTTTGAAACATGATGCAGGAAAATACCGTTCCGGGGCCCGGGTCGTGATTTTTTGCGACGTTCTATGGTTTGGCCACGTCGAATCTCGGGGCACCTCCCCCCCCCACACGATTACGCAACGCCCGAGCCATCTGGGGAAACCAAAGATTTATCGATACCGCAGCTCGCCAGACCTCCTCGGGGGAGCTCGCTGACTAGGACTTCGAAGCGAATCCAGCGGTGGCGACGAGAGCCTCCCTGGAGGCCCCTCGAAAAAAGGATAACGGCGGAATGGTAGCGGCATGGGACCGTTGCTTCCTCCCCCAAGCCATCTTTGACGGGAGGTCCTCCACCCTGGCCAAGTTGCGCGACAGCGCTGCCGCGGCCTCCTCGCACTCCAGCTGGCCCAGGATGAAGGCAACCTCCGCGCGGGCGCCGCGGAGGGGGGGGAGGGAGGACGGGGGGGGAGGAGGAGGAGGTAAGATAAGATAAGACCGATCGCGAAGCGAGTTCAATATTACTCGGAAGATCTAGCCGCCTTCTCAGCTTTGCTGAGAACTTTGGGCAGAAGACCTCGAGAAATACGGTCGAGATAACCTCGCCGTGCTTTGGTAAGTGGGGCTCTTGGGGGGGGCTTACACTCATCAGCCAAACCTCGGAGCTGCTGCTGATGGTGGCACCCTCACGCCGCACATTACCACAGAGACAGGGATTCATGATAAAGCATATGGTGAGACCCATGGACCCACCCTCCAGCGAGATGCAGACGCATCCCCCGGGGAACCCTCAAGACCCCTGAGGACTGGTGCTCAAGCTGGAAACATACCGATTCGAAACACTCCTTCTTCGCAGCCACAGTCGTGGATCCCTTGCACGCCAAGCATCTTTTTCCACACTCCGAGACGCGATGGGCAGTGCAAAAAAGAGCCACCGTGGTAGGCGCAGGAAGTGAAACCCTGGGAGGCACACGGGGCCTTCGGGGGGCCTTCCTTTTTTTCATCCAGCGCAGCGGATTCATAGGTAGCTCGGAGCAACCGTTGACGGATGAGACGGGCCTCGTGCTCAATCTGCAAAGCGCGGGCACGCTGGTCCTGCGGGACTTGTGCTCGTGAGGCCGCCTCTCCCGCCAGGTGGTCAACGACAACATTGCCAGCAATGAGGTGGCCCGAGAGGCCACGAGTGACGACCTCCTCGCCCGAGACATGAAACGGCACCTTGATCACTGCAATCTGGCACGGCAGCCTGTGCTGCAGCTGAAAAGCTGGCCCGAACTCGCGCCGCAGGTCTGAGTTGATACCCTGCGGAGAAAGGTAGAGGCGTTCTCACCATCCTTTGCTGACCTCCTCATTGTCTGTGACAAAGATCATGAAACCTGCGGACCATCTGGCACCTAGGAGAAAAGCCAGCAGCTCTCCCCTCTGGACGGTTTTGCGCACTCCTGGAAGCGGTCCAGAAACACAACGTGAATTTGGTCCAGGGAGCTCCCCGACAGCGCACATGGGTAACCCCATCCGCCGAGGTCGAGAATCATGTGTGTCGCTGCCGCCTGGGGCATCACCATGAAGCAGAATGGGTGCGGACTCGACGCCCTCGCCGAAAAAGTCTGGTCGAGGTCGTCGTTGTGACTGACCGTCCAGCTCTCCTCGCGCGCGTGTGGGTCCACAGCCGTGAGATGTGAGGGGATGGGCCATCGATGCCAATAGCATTCCATGCTGTCACCTTGAGCCAGCGCTTTGTGGCATAACTCTTGGGAGAAAACAAAAGCTGGTGATCCGTGATTACACCTGCAGGCCCAGAAACGATGCTTTGGCGTCTCTGGTCCATCGCCACAGCGTGCGCACTGTGATGGAATATGATACCCGGCTTCGGCCTCGCGGGAAGCCGCCCAGGCCCCGCCGAGCGTAATCGTGAGCAAGAGGTGAGCCAGCCTTCGACCGATCCTGGGGATCTGCTCCAACTGGTACAACTGCTTTCTTGGACTGAAGTTGTCGACTCCAGCCTCCATACCTCCTCCGCAACATGTTGAAGCTGCAGCGTGCTGCCACTGTTTCTGCTGAGTGGGCCCTGTGAAAGCGTCGAGGAGCTCCGCGGCCTGATCGCTGGCCTGGAACTCGGTTCCTGCGCAATTCTACCCAGCCTGGTGCCCTGCTGCGTCGGCTGTTTGATGCCGCAACGTTGGCTCTGGGATGTCCCATCCAGCGTCGAGAAGGTAGTGAATCACAGCCGTGAGAGGACCGCGTATATGTCTCGCCCGATGGCGAGGTTCACGCTGCAGGAAATCCGAAACTGTGGCGCCCCAAATTTTCGATATGGGTTTACGAAACCGAGGTACCTCCAACCAAACTCGAAACCAGTCGGCCAGGCATTGACGGGGAAAAGAATACCCTGGATCTGCGCCAGGAGCCCTGCCATCGACTCAGGTAACAAGGCGCCGGCCTCGCCTGTGGCCCCCTGTGACGGCGCCTGGAAGCCGACGAAAGTGAGCCAACGAAGTTGTGGGAAGCCCATGTATATGAATGATGTCCGCCTCGTGCTCCTGCCTGGGAGACTGCCAGCTCCACAGTCTGCAAAACCTTAAATCGCTTGGACGGGAAGGTAAACTTACGAACTCCATTATGTTGCTTGAGAGTCGCGGCGAATCTTTTCCGACGCGTCGCTCGCCCATGCCTCTGGCCACTACCTAGATCGATGCCGAGGTGCGAGGTCTGAGGACCTGCAACCACTGAGATGCCACGGGCCTTCAACCGCTTCTGAATGCTACGGGCGTCTCGCATATCCGAACAAGTGGTGGTGCTCTTCTTCGCTAGCTGAAAGGAAAACTCGGCGAGCAGATCGTTCGCGGCCGTGATACCCTCCACCAAATCGTTGCACATAGAGGACCTCGACCCCGCGGCTGTCTGGGAGAGACCATCAATTCAGAGTCGCCGTGGCAGCCGTGGGTGTTGCGAGGCGTGCCATCGCCTTGGCAAATCTCGTGCCGCCCCTGAGTCCTTGAATGATGCATCGCGTGCCCTGACATGGACATGAGACTGCGTCGCCTTGGTCTTAAAGCCGAGGTCCTGCGCAAGTCTGTAGTTCGAGTCCTAGCACAAGTGGAGAAAAACCACAGCGTATTGCCCCTTTAACAAGTACGGACCATTCCATTTCATCGTAGAAAGATTTAACATCAAATAGTCCGCACCCGTGCGAGGCCTTCATCTTCGTGAACAGTTCCTCGTCGAGGGCTCAAGTAGTCCTCGCGCAGGGCGGAATTACCCGCTATCGCAGCCCCCCAATCTGGCTGCCACGCACTGGCCCATTCCTGGATGAGAGGTTCTCGTGAGAGTGACCAAATGCTGCAGATCATGCACGCGAGGCCGATCGCACGGTTGCCCGAACTCTTCTTGGGCAACAGCCGTCCTAGCACTGGCACAAGTTGCCAGGGCCACGTCTGGTATTGTTCACACATAGTGTATATCACAACAAGTCCGTTGAGTGCTTGCTCGGGTAGCCTCTCGAGGTCGATCGGAAAGACCCGATCAAACCCTTGGCCAGCCCGAGGTTTCACCCGCCGAAGAGCTGCACGAATATCCTCCGCCGTGAGCGGCGTCAAAGGCTCAGACGCTGCACGCCGCCGCGTGCGTTCAAAAACCGCTCGAACTTCTGGCGCTGTCTGTTTGAATCGCAATGTCCACAAGGGGGGCCGGTGAGCTGCCTCGTGATCCAACATCCCCGGGATGGAAAGTGGCGCCTTGATCCGAGTTGGCCGAAGCTGGAAGCTTCAGGCCAGCAAGAAGTGAATCTTTCGTAGCTTGAAATGCGGCGCCCGCGTTCTCCTGCTTCCCAATCCAACCCTTGAAATCAGCAAGCGAAGCCGACATGGCATGACTACGAGCTCGCTGCGCCACCTGCTTGGCCTCGCTAGCGTAGATGTCCAGCTGCCGGCACGGAGCGCCCCTAAGCTCAACGGGAACTGTGAGCCATGACGCCCACGTAGTAGCTTCTGGAGACATGCCAACCGACTTACACACGCAGCCAGGCGGCTGCCCAGTCAACTTGGCTCCCGCCACGGCGAGAGCCCCAGACTGACTGGGCCCGTTCCCACGTCGCTTATGTCGACGTGACCAACCTGGGGCCCTGAGCTCGAGTCGGCTTGTCAGAGGGGTCCAGGTCGTGATGCGCTTGGTACAAGTATTCCACACTGCTGATCCACGCTGCGCATGCACTGCTGACGTGAAGGACGTGGGGCCCTCCAACCGTGAACGCGCGCGATGCCCTCACTGGCCACCAAACCTGTGAAATGGCTTGGGGGCAATGACCTGCCCGAGCACGAGCCAATGGCCACAGGTGCGAAGGGGGGGGGGGGGGGGGGATCATGGGCAGCAGCAGTGCCCATGGAGTTGGATGGGGCGGGTGTGTCCTAGCTGAACTGGGGAGCTCTCTCGCTGGAGGGGTCCCTGTCATCGTCTACAGCTGAAGCGAAATCGGAATCCGTCGAGGCCGGTAGATTCACCCGATCACCCCCCGACACGAGAGAGGGGGAGGGCGAGGGCGAGGACGAGGAGGAAGAGGTGGGGGGGATCGTAGGCCCAACAAAGCTGGGCTCGCCAGCCCACGGATCCACCTCATCTTCGCGCAGATGAAAATGACACCCAGCCATAAGCTCGGGATCATCTGGCAACGATGGAATGCTAGACGGATCAGCACCGAGGCTGGGGCAAGCCAGAATTGAAAATCTGTTTGTCACGAGCACAGGCCTGGCGGGCAATCTGTTTCGACCGCGCCTGCGAGGACCTAGACCTGCTCTGTGCCTGGGCCCGTGGCCGAGCAACTCGAGGCAACCTTTCGGGAAGCAAAAGCGAACGAGAGATCAGTTGCCCACCCGAACTCCCGAGCTGAAGCACTACTGCGCAGCGAGGCTTCCGCGGCGCATCCAGAGTCGCCTGCGCGCCTAATATGCACGGCGCGGCCGATGGCGAAGCCAGAATATAATCTATGTGAGACGCGCCACTTTTGCGGGCGCACGCGCGTTCAACAGGAGCTCCTAGCACAGGCGCCCCGATTTGCCAAGAAAGCCCCCCGACGAGACCGACGAGAGCCCAGGCGACGGCGTGTTAAAATCTCCGAGCACCACCCACGGAAGGTGCAAGGCCTGCCAATTTGACCCAAGCTTGGCCAGACGTTCGCAGTTTTGGCCAGCGTATCCCTGGGAATGGTGCCCGTAAGAAATGAAAACTACTATGCTATAGCCTTGCTGCCTCACAACTACAAGGAGATATCCGTCGAGCATGCTCAAACCCTCCGAGCATCGCTGAGACAACTCACTGCTGCGTTGAGACAAGGCGCGTGTTTGACGGTGGCCTTCGGGCAGAAAGAGTTCGCAACCTTCCGTGGCACGCGATTGCCCCGAGGCAGTGAGACACCGACGCCCCGTGGGTCTTGCTGCGTTCACATGACAACGAAATTTGGCGAGACGTGCGTTCCCCTTCCAATCTGCAACGTGCTGTCTCCAATGTGCGCCTCGCAAATGGCGAAATGCTGGAAGACGTTGTCCGACCAGAGATGGCAACATAACCCCGCGCCTAGCGACAGAGGAAAGTAACGCTACTGAAGAAAATCTGTGTGACCGCTGACGCTGAATCCCCACTTGAATCGGCTGGCGATCGCTTCGAACGAGATGATGCAGCTGGCGAGCCCAGAGCCCCCCCTGCTGAGGCGTTGGGCTCCTGGACCCTAGAACTCGTGGACGGTGAAAAAGAACTCGCCGAACTCGGCTGCGCCGTCGACGGCGATGAAACCTGCTGGCCCTTTGAGACTGAACATGCTACACGAAGCGAGGGCGCCTTCGCGAGCCTACTGGGAGCACTGCTGGCCCCCTGTGATGATCACGCTGGCGTCGCCGCCGCGGCCTGAGGGCCCTGGGCGGCGCCCTGATCGGCTGCGCCAGCCATGGCGCTGGCCGCGGCCTGCGGTGCCTGCGCCGCCGCCGCCGCTGCCGCCTCCTTGGCCTTCCTGATGCGCTGCACCTCCGCCTCGATCGCCTCGGTGCGCTGGCGGGTGGCGGCGTCGGTCTCGCCCGTAGGGCCCGATGCCGCTGCAACCGGCCCCGCGGAGCTGCTGTCAGCTGCCGCAGGGGCCTGGCTCGCCGCTGCCGCAGACGCGGTGCCTGCGGGAGTGGCCTCAGCAGCACCACCTCCCTCAGCCCTGCGCTTCTTGGCGTGGCGGGCAGTGACTGCCTCCTGCACGGCCTTCACCTTATCCCTCCAATTCGTGATGGACTCGCTCTTGACCGTGAGATTCTTCTTGGTTGCCGGCGGGGTGGCCTGGAGCTTGAGCAGGGCCTCCTTCTCGGCGCCCTCACACTCGCACTCGCCTGACCGAGCCTTGTCGAAGAAGTCCGTGTCCCAATCGATTTCGAACTTGGCCTTGCCGTCCTTGGGTGCCTGATCCGCTGCCTCGGCAGCGGGGGCTGCGGTGAAACCCGCCTGCGCCGCCAAGGCCTTGGCCGCGGTCCTGCGGGCGATCTCGGCTTCGGCGAGGACACTCACGGTCTCTGCCGCCTTCGCCTCCGCCCGCGAGAGCGCCTCGCGGCACCTGCTGACTCGCTGCGCCGCCTGGTCGTGCTTGTAGTTCGCGTCCTTGCACGCGATGGCCGCCCGCTTGACCGCCTCCTCTGCTGTCTGAGGGCCTCGATCGGAGCCTTCGGTGGAGCTCCTTATGGAGCCACGAAGCGTGTGAGGGATGTGCCAACATGGGGGTGGAACCGCATGCGGGCACTGCCGTTGGGGCCTTCGACATGGGGGTGGAACCGCATGCGGCCGCTGCCGCTGGAGCCTTCGGTGGAGCTCCCTATGGGGCCAGGAAGCGTGTGAGGGTGTGCCGAAATGGAAGTGGAACCGCATGCGGGCGCTGCCGCTGGGGCCTCCGGTGGAGCTCCTTATGGGGCCACGAAACATGTAAGGGGTGTGGCGACATGCGGTGCAAATGCATGCGGGCGCTGCCGCTGGGACCTCCGGTGGAGCTCCCTATGGGGCCACGAAACGTGTGAGGGGTGTGCCGACATGGGGGGGGAACCGCATGCGGGCGCTTCCGTTGGGGCCTTCGGTGGGGCTTCCCATGGGGCCTCGAAACGCGTGAGGGGTGTGCCGAAATGGGGGTGGAACCACATGCGGGCGCTGCCGCTGGGACCTCCGGTGGAGCTCCCTATGGGGCTACGAAACGTGTGAGGGGTGTGCCGAAATGGGGTTGGAACCGCATGCGGGAGCTGCCACTGGGTCCCGCGGTGAAGCCCCCTATGGGGCCACGAGAAGTGTGAGGGGCGTGCCGACATGGGTGTCCATGACGGTGACGATAACAGCGATGCTGATGGTGAAGATGGTGATTAAGACGGTGGTGCCGATGATGAAACGACGATGATGCCGACGATGAAGACGATGACGATGAAGATGGTACAGGTGACGATAACGATGGCGATAATGATGATGCTGTTGCTGATGGTGATGAGGACGAAGAGGACGATGCTGATGATGCTGATGATGATGCTGACGATGCTGCTGATGATGATGATGGTGACGATGATGATGCGATGAGGAGGGAGGGAGGGAACAGCGGGAGGAGTGACCGCGGGGCACTGTCTCTACAAAACGAGGACCCAACACCACAGAGGATGGTTGGGAAAAGAGGACGGGTGCGTTTGTAATCCTGTTGTCTTCACTTGACTTGAGTCGTTTGATGCATACCGCCAGCAAAACAACAGGGGGCAAGTAGTGCCTAAAAACGGTTAAACCAATTATTTTCGGGAGACAATTGAACAAATGGTTTTCCCCAGCGCTGTATTGCGCCTATAGAAAACACAAAAGGGAGGCGGGGCAAACTGGATCGCTGGATACGTCCCCGCGACCGCCCTGGCGCCGTGCGTGCAGGGACAGATTCCTGCGCACCCCCTCTTGGCGCCAGGCCACGCCTGCCACGCCCTGCGACCCCAGCGTGCATAGAGACTGCGCTCAGGGACCACTCCCTGCGCACCGCGCGCCCTGTCTGGGTTGCGAACAAGCCACACCTGACATGCCCGAGCCTGACGTGGAAAGAGACCGCACTTGGGGACCATCCTTTGCGCACGCCTTCTGGTGCCGAGAGGGCCACAAGTGCTTTAAGATGGCCTCCAAGATGGCGCAATGTGGTCCAAATTGGCTCAAGATGGCCTCAACAGACCGGCGACATGCGATGAACATATTATGCAACTAACGTTTGTTTTCGGAGGCGGGGAGTCGAGGCGGAGGGGAGCGGAGGCAGAGTGGAACAACAGGACAGGAGAGGGGCTAGACCAGGTTACGACGAAGGCCGGATCGCCCTCCAGGCCAGAAAGGCCCTCAGCAAGCCGCTCACTTCGAGGCCGCACCAAGGCTACAACAGGTTACAGCGAAGGTCGCACCGCCCTCTGGGCCAAATTTGCGGGGCTACACCAGGATACGATGAAGGCCGTCCCCCCTCTGGGCCACGCAAGCGGGGCTACACCAGGTTACAGCGAGGGCCGGCGCGCCCTCCAGGCTAGACATAAGGGGCTACACCAAGCTACAATGTCACATCGGCATTCTCCCTGGGGGGAGGGGGGGGTCATCATTTCGTTTAACTGGTTTTGGACATTAGGCGGAGGGACAGAGGCGAAAGCGGCGCACACCCCGCGGAGAATGAGGAGGACGAGGAGGAGGAGGCAGAGGAGGAGGCGGAGGAGGGGAAGGGAGAGGAGGGGAAGGAGGTGGCGGAGGAGGCGGAGGAGGAGGGGGAAACGGGGGAGGCGGAAGCTGAACTTCGCATGTGGGAAACGGGTCCCGAGGGAAACGGGTCCTGGACCAGGGAAGCTCCTCCAAGGACGAGACACAGTCGGACCCAGGCCAGAAGAGCATCCTTCCAGACCATGAGACCCTCCGCAGGACAACACGCAGAGAACATCCTAGGGCACCCTCCTCAAGAGGCACAAAAACATCCAACCAACACAAAGAACAATAGTTTACCCTCTCCAAACCGACCTCGTTCGTATAATCACCTCGGTCTGACAGCATCTTCATCCTGAACCGTTTTCTGACCGTCCTGGGGGCCATGGAAGGCCCCGGGACCCCTCTCCATTCCAAGACCCCCGACGCCGCGAATTTTTCGCAACGTCGACCCCCAGTGGTCTGCCCAGAGATCTGACGCTCAAAATGAAGCGGCTGAATTTAAGCCGTTTCGGGCGTTCCGGGGCCCTCGCAGGGCCTCGGGACCGTCACAAAACGACTCAGGACCAAAAACCAGCCTTAGGGAAGTAGGAGTCCAGATCTCCGGAGCCCCCGCATCGAACAAATTGGAGCAGCCGCATGTCTGGGTGGACCGCTTCCCCGGCACCGGTTTGTCATACGGCCCTTGGGCCCGGCAAGGGCCCCCGGAGGCAGAACGCAAAGAAAAGCATCCCGTAGTACGCCGCGAGGCCCTGAGATCCGACGTTGCAGAAATTGCAACGTCGCAACAATCACGACCAGGGCCCCGCACCCCCTCTTTCTGCATCCTTTTTCGAGACGGATCGATCTGTGAGTCCTCCTGGCGCCCGAAGTTGAGCGAAAACGCCCGGTGTGAAAAAGTTGCAACGGAAAAATCTCAAGGTGCAACGCTTGTGCCCGAAAAAAACCCGTCATGAGGGCCTACACCGGGACACGTGTGGTGCCCGCCTCCTCCTCCTCCTCCTCCTCCTCCTCCTCCTCCTCCTCCTCCTCCTCCTCCTCCTCCTCCTCCTCCTCCTCCCCCTCCCCCTCTCCTCTCTCCTTCTCCCCCTCCTCCGCCTCCTCCTCCTCCCCGCTCCTCCTCCTCCTCCTCCTCTCCTCCTCCTCCGCCTCCGCCTCCGCATCCGCCTCCTCCTCCTCTTCCTCCTCCTCCTCCTCCTCCGCCTCCGCCTCCGCCCCGCCTCCGCTCCGCCTCCGCCTCCTCCTCCTCCTCCTCCTCCTCCCTCCTCCTCCTCCTCCTCCTCCTCCTCCTCCTCCTCCGCCTCCTCCTCCTCTCTCTCCCCCCTCCCCGTCCTCCTCCTCCCTCCTCCTCCTCCTCCTCCTCCTCCTCCGCCTCCGCCTCCGCCTCCGCCTCCTCCCTCCCTCCGCCTCCGCCTCCTCCTCCTCCTCCTCCTCCTCCTCCTCCTCCTCCCCGTCCTCCTCCTCCCCCTCCTCCTCCTCTCCCTCCTCCTCCTCCTCCTCCTCCTCCTCCTCCTCCTCCTCCTCCTCCTCCTCCTCCTCCTCTCCTCCTCCTCTCTCTCCCTCTCTCCCTCCTCCCCGTCTCCTCCTCCCTCTTCCTCCTCCTCCGCCTCCTCCTCTTCTTCTACCCGGGGGGGGGGTCTGGGCTTCCCCCCTGGCGAGCGGAGGCGGGAGCCGCGCACGCCCCGCCTCGTGCCGGAGCACGGCGGACGACGCGTCGGTGTCGAGGCTCTCGCAGAGCGCTCCTGCAAAGGCCGCCGCCCGCCCGCGCGCGGGGCCCTTGCGGGGGGGGGGGGGGGGCCCTTGCCGGAGGGGGCCGGAGGCCGAGGAGGGAGGCACAGCCGGCCAGGTCAGGTTATCCTGGGGGGGGGGAGGGGGGAGGGGGGGGGGGGGGCAAGCCCGATGACCCGCGTTATCGCCCGACCCTAAAAAAACTATCTCGACGGGCGCGGATGCGGACATGTTCGCCGCTGCGCTGACCTTCCAGGAGGGCTAAAAAATAGCACCCGACCTAAGAACCTATCCCAGAGCTATTCTACGTCTTGGTTTCAGGCTGCTTCGTTCAGTGTTTTGGGTTTTTAGGTCTCCAGTGCTAAAGAATAGCTCTCTGGAAGGTCAGGGGTGCTGAAGGGGCCCAGGGAGGCACAAGCCTCAAGTCGGGCCTGGCCCTCTACAGGGGGGAGATGCACAAGTAGTCAGAAATAGTCAGGGGACTATGTTTGATGATTTGTTGGGTCTTTCTGAACATTTTGGGGGTATTCATATTTTTTCGTCCAAGGTCCCCCTGTAGGGGGGCAGGCACTACCTAACGCAAGCCCTGGGCCTCCTCTGCCCATGACGACATCACGACGGGAGGGTTCTCCTCATTTGCGGCCTCTGGGGGCGAACATGCTCGCGTCGTGGCAAGATCAGGCCGCCCACACAAATCCAGTTCCCCTGGAGTTGTGACAAAATCACGACGGATGGGTTTTCGCGATTGTTGTCGGTTCTCGGCGGTTTCAGCTGCGCCTCGCTGAGGGCGTTCTGGGGATGCCCGGAGCGTCCCAAACGGCCGCCGGAGACCCGAGTTATGACCCCAAAACCGAACTCGAGGAGAAGGCCTTCGCAGAGGGCGGAGGGGCTGCTCAGAAGTCCTCCGGCCTTCAGAGAAGGTATCTATGTCTTCGGGGACGGCTCAGAAAACTTATCCGAAGGCCGTAGAGCCATCTCAGATCCGCCCCTTCTCTCCCCCCAGATTCGCCGCTGAAGTTCCAAGGGGTGCCCAGGGAGGCACAAATAGATAGGCACAAAGACGCCAAAAAGCCCCAGGAGGCTCCCCGAAGGCTCCCAAGACAACCCCAAACACATTCGTGTGGGTCTTGAGCACCTCTCGGGGGCCTCGTGTAGCATCTAGGGCAGTCTTGGAAGTGACTTGGAGGTGCAGCTTTTCGCAGGCCCCCGCCACCTCCGTCATCGCGCCTGGCTCGGACGTCGGCTCCAAGCCGAACGGTCAGTGGTGGCGGGGTTTCGCCACGGAGGCAAGCTGGCCAAGGTGCTCCTCGGGCCCGTGATCGCTCGGGCGCACCGCGCCTACGAGCGAGCCCAGCTGCGCACGTTCGTCAACGACGCTGCGCTCAGAGGCTGGCCTCGTGGTGTCCCGCGAGTCTGTCCTGGTGTGCTCCGACCTCGCATTGGGGCGGTCTTCGGCTTAGTGGGCCCTGGAAACGACAGGGCCGTTTTTTTACCGGTTCCGTTTTGCCGTTTTTTTGCCAGTTCCGACGCCGTTTTTTTCCGGTTCCGTCGCCGTTGTTTGACCGGTTCCGGCTCCGGTTCCAATCCTGGAGCTGTTTTTGTTGCCGTTTCCGGTAGCTGTCTTTTTTGCCGTTTCCATTTTCAAGGGACATTCTTTTTGGAAGCGAGGAAAAACGGCCCTGCCGTTTCCGGGGCCCACAAAGGTCTTCGGCCGCTGGGCTTGGACGGCTGGGTGCTCCACCAACCTTCGTGAAGGGGCCCAAGGACACACAAATAAAAACACACAAATAAAGAAATTCCAAATATTTTCACACATTTTCTGGGTTTTTGTCTTTCCGCCCAGTTCCCATATTTTTCCATATTTTCATGGGGATCGACGATTAATTGTGTCACCCAATCCTTCCAAGCCCTTCCCTTTCCGGTCCCCTTCACCTCCTTCCTTGCCTTCCTGCCCTTCCTCTCCGTCTCCATCCCTCCTCAGCCTCCCAGTCTTAGCTTGGGGGAAGGAGGAGGAGGAGGCGGAGGAGGAGGAGGAGGCGGAGGAGGATGAGGAAGAGAAAAAGGAGAAGGAGGAGGAGGAGGAGGAGGAGGAGGAGGAGGAGGAGGAGGAGGAGCTGTGTGTTTTTTCCCCTCCTGACTTCGCCCTTCAGGCGGTCGACCTGGGCGTGGACACGGCGTGCGGGCGGGCCGGCGGGGCAGGCGCCGGGCCTCGGGGCGCTTTCGGGCTGCTATAGGGCGCCCCGCCGGGATCCTGCGGACGCGCACGGAGGGCCGCCTGGCGAGGGTCACCACGGTGTGCTGGACGACGGGCGCGCAGCCGCAGGCGACCTACTCCAACTTCTATAATAAAGGGGGGGGGTCACAAACCTCCCAGACGAGCCATTTTAGACCCCCTTCCGTCTGGGGCGACCTCCATCAAGAAGTAGCCCCCCCCCAAGACGTGCCAAGTTGGAGTACCTACGGTCACCAGGCTGCTGGCTTGAAGGGGCCCCAAGACACACAAATAAATACACACAAATAAAACGGTTCCCCATGTTTTCCAATATTTGTCTGGGTATCTGTCTCCCCCCCCCCACTTCCAATATTTTCCAATATTTTCTAGGGAATCGAGGATTAATGGTGTCTGTGTTTTTCTTCCCTCCTGAGATGTGCTGGACGACGGGCGCGCAGCCGCAGGCCACCTACGGTCACCAGGCTGCTGGCTTGTGAGCGCTTTCTGAATCGGCGTTTCGGCATTGGGCGGAAGGGGGGGGAGGGGAATGGGGGGGGGTCTGGCTCCGGACTTCTGCTTAATGCGACTGTTGGCAGCAGCGCGTCCTATTGTGGGGGACTCCACCTGCTCGAAACAGGCGCCCCAACACAGACAAAAGATCTACTCCACGGAGGGGGGGTGCGAGGGCCCGCGCCGCTCGGCAAAACAAGGAATAACAAAAACGATCACGTACTGTCACCAGGCTGCTGGCTTGGCGCCGTCGTCCTTGCTGGGGGGAGGCTGCCAACGACTACCCCCCCTCCCGCCCCAAGGGGCTCCCAAGAGCCCCCCAAGAGGCCCCAGGGGAGCCCAATACGCCGCCAAGGAGCCCCAAGACGCTCCCAAGAAGCCCCCAAGAAGCCCCCAAGATGGCCCCAAGAGGCCCCAAATAGCGCTCCAGGGCCGGCGGAAGGAGCGAAGCGATGAAATAACAAAAACGATCACATACGGTCACCAGGCTGCTGGCTTGGAGGCCCTCGTCCTTGCTGGAGCTGCGCCGCGCCGCTGCGGCGGCTGCCGTCGGCAAGGGCCCTGGCCGCTGCTCGACGTCGACGCTGGCCACCCTCCCAGATCCCAGACCCCCGACGTAATGATTTTTTCATTACGTCGACCCCCAGAGGTCCCGACCCCTTCCCCATGACCGGCTTTGCATCCTGAGTCGTTTTTTGACGCTCCCGAGGCCCGGTGAGGGCCCCCGGAGGCCGAAAATCAGGAAAAACCTCCCGTCATGATTTTTTCCTTACTCGAGGGGGTCTGGGCTCCACGGGCAGCGCGGCCCAGGGCTGGGGTTCCGGCGCCAGGTGGCTAGCCAGTGGCTGGAGCTGTGGCGGACCCGGCGTCCGACGCCCACGCGCGCGATCGACGCGCGGGGGGCCCCGACTGCTGGCTGCCCTCACCGAAGGGGCCCCAGGACACACAAATACATACACACAAACAAAACGATTCCCCATATTTTCCCATATCTTTGGGTCTTCGTCTTCCCCCCCGCTTCCCATATTTTCCCATATTTTCTGGGGAATCGACGATGAATTGTGTCTGTGTGTCTGTTCCCCTCCTGACTCACTCGAACGAGAGACCCCGTCGGTGGTGTCGCGTCCGCGGGCCAGCTGCTGCCGTCATCGCCGTGCTGCTGGACACCAACTGGCGCCCCGAGTCGCCCCAGCGATGGGTGCGACCCGCGGGGCCCGACGCAGTGGACGAGGGGCTCATCCCTGGGCCCGAGGATGACGGGGTTGCTGTCGCCGACGCCTCCAAGCTGCTCGAGGATATGGTCGGCGACTTTCGTCGTCGCATGTGGCGGCAAGTTGCGTTGCACCCCGCTGGCGATAGCCGGGTCAACGGAGCCGGCAAGATGCACGTGCAATGGGAGCTCTAACGGAACATGGCCAAAAGCGACCTCGACCTGTGGGCGCAGACTGGTGTCGTGGTCAGTGGCTGCTAGTGGACCCGCGAACGTCAGCAACAGGCTGGCTACGAATCGGAGGAGGTGTGCCAGCGGTGCCAGTCAGAGCAGGAGACGTTGTTTCACCGAATTTGGACTTGCCCGTGCAACGGCGGAATTTGACCCACGTGAAAGGTTGATTGGTCGTGCTCGTGCTGGATGGGAGCAAGATTCCGCCCTGTGGGTTCGTGGTGTGTGCCCATCCGAGCTGACGACGCCGATCTTCGACAAGTGTTGGGCCGACTGAATCGAGGCCTGCGGGGAGCCACCCGACGAGTGCAAGACCGAGGGCGACCAGGTACTGCACGTGCTCGGCGACGGATCTGGCGGTCCGCATACAGATGACCCTCGTCGGAGCTGCTGCGGTTGCTCTACACCCTGCGAAATGCTTAAGAAATCATGGGTTAAGAAATTCAGAGTCTCAGAACTTGAATAAAAACCCAGAATTTCTATCAAAATCTTGGGATTTACATTGGAAAGTTAAGAATAATCGAGACTCTGGACGAAAACTTAGGTTTTCTTAAGCATCGCCTAAGGTGTACGGCCAGGCGGGGGATCGTGGACGCCAGCCGCCATTATGGTCGGCGGCGTGCAGGGGCCCAGGCAAACTGTACCTAGGGCAGAGTTGCTCGCCCTTGTCCTGTGCCTCGAGCGGTCGACGGGACAAATACGCTTCCACATTGACTGTCGCTCGTTACTTGATGGTTGGAACGCCTGATGTTTCGTGTCGTGCATCGGTAGTAACGGAGACTTGTGGGTGCGTGTGAGGGCCGCCCGGATCCCGAGCCATCTCGATGATGATGTTGAGCGGGTCGATTGTGAAGTGAAGGTCTTCAATTTGTTGTCGTGGGCAGCGTGTGTGCTGATAAGGCGGCTGGTGACGCGGCTCGCAGGGCGTCTCGATGCATCGTCGGCACCGAGCCTCGGACCGACGAATGGGATGCTATCGCTGCCCTGGTGAGGCGTCGGGCGTGTCGGGCGCTCACGAATACGATTTCCCATGGCCCTTGGAATTCAGATCGTGTCAAGCCAAACGTCCGCCGACCCAGACTCGCCTCCAGATTGCGCTCAGTCGAAGCCAGCACTCCTGGGAGAAAGACCTGGGACGCTGGCTCCGCAAGTGCTGTCGCAAACTCGTGTTGTCCGCCAGGGTCCTGGATGCCGCTGGCACGGTTTGTGCCCCCCCTCCCCCCCCGCTCCAGAAGGAAGATGTTCCTTTCACAGGGGGTGTCTCGGCGGCCCAGGTCCCATCTTCGTGGGCGGCGTGCAGGTGCATAGCTCGCACTCGTTGCAGTCCTGGCCGGGGTGCTCTCTGTGTTTCTGCCCCGTCTGGGGCAAGACGGCCTCGACGGACTGCAAGCACCTGCGCCAGCCGTGCCAGCCATCGCGTAGGGGCAAGGCGAACCTTGCGCGCATGCCCCGAGGCCTCCTCCCCCGCCCCCACAAGGGCTCCGAAGTCTTCTGTTTGGGCGGCCCGGAAGGTCCTCACGGGCGGGACGTCGGGGCCCGCGTCAGGTGATGCCGGGGGAGGAGTCTCTTCGTGGGCACAGGGAGGGACACTGCATCCCCTGGCTCCTCCTCCTCCTCCTCCTCCTCCTCCTCCTCCTCCTCCTCCTCCTCCTCCTCCTCCTCCTCCTCCTCCTCCTCCTCCTCCTCCTCCTCCTCCTCCTCCTCCTCCTCCTCCTCCTCCTCCTCCTCCTCCTCCCCCTCCTCCTCCTCCTCCTCCACCTCCCCCTCCTCCCTCCTGCCACTCCGCCTGATCCGAGCCCGTCTCTGTCGCGGCGCCCGCGGCCGCGGCAGGCCCCCACACCCGCCGCGTGACCAAAGGCCGAGCGCACCACGGGGACCGCGAGAGCCCCCCACACGGCCGCGGCGGGCGCCCGGGCCACAAACAGGGCCCACGACGGGAGGCCGAGGAACGACGGCCCAGGAGCCCGGGCCCCTCTGGAGCCCAGATCGGTCCTTTTTTGGGGGACCAAGAAACCCAGACCCCCTCGAGTAATGAAAAAATCATGACGGGAGGTTTTTCCTAATTTTCGGCCTCTGGAGGCCCTAACCAGCCCTCGGGAGCGTCAAGAAACGACTCAGGATGCAAAGCCGGTCATGGGGAAAGGGTCGGGACCTCTGGGGGTCGACGTAATGGATAAATCATTACGTCGGGGGTCTGGGAAGGCGACACCAACACCAGCAGGGCGAGGAGGTGCGAGGAGGCAAGGGGAGTCTCCCTGGTGGTGTGGTCCCCCCTCTCGCTCGAGGCATCCCCGGCATCCAGCTCGGGGAGGCATCGTGGACTTCCTCGCTGGAGGTGGGCCCCCCTGGTGGTGTTGGTATCGCTTCTCCTCCATCAGATGTTTCAGCGTCTTTGACATAAGAAGAAACGTCAGCAACATAAAGTTTCGGCGCTCCGCGCGGATCTCTTGGATCCGCGCTGGGCCCTCCCCCCTCCCCCCAGCGGCGCCTCTGGTGCCGAAACTCAACGGTTCATGACGCTTCCTCTTATTATTCGCTGGGAGGATCTCAAGTCAGGATGTTCGCGTCGCCGACCAGCCATGACTGGGTGAGCTGTGGTCCTTCCCCCCCGTCGCATCGACGATCTCTCGAGAGGGGCGTCGAGATCGATGGATCCCCCAGAGAGGGGTAAGGACCACAGCCCCCCCCCAATTGTGGCTGGCCTGCGCCGTCGATGCTTCTGACTTCAGCGTCCTGGCCGATCTTCACGTCTTCGGAGGCCCAGACCCCCGACGTAATGATTTTTTCATTACGTCGACCCCCAGAGGTCCCGACCCTTCCCCCAGGACCCGTTTTGCATCCCGAGTCGTTTTTTGACGCTCCCGAGGCCCGGTGAGGGCCCCCGGAGGCCGAAAATTAGGAAAAACCTCCCGTCATGATTTTTTCATTACTCGAGGGGGTCTGGGGGGGCACCCCGCTCGGCCTGGCTCCGTCTGCCCGGCGCCGAGGGCCCCTGCGCTCGCGGGTGGGCAGACCTCTGGGCTGCGCCGCGCCGTGCCCTTTTTTTTGTCTGCCCGGGCCGCCAGGATGAAGGGGCCATGGGACACACAAATAAATACACACAAATAAAAGGATTCCCCATATTTTCCCATATTTTCTGGGTTTCTGCCTTCCCCACCACTTCCCATATTTTCCCATATTTTCCTGGGAATCGAGGATTAATTGTGTCTGTGTGTTTTTTCCCTCCTGACAGGAGTTGAGCAGGGGCCGACCGCCCCGGCATTCCTGCAGGCCTGCCACGACGTGTCCTCCGAACCCGGGAATGCTCCAAGAACAGAAGCAGCGCTCTGAGAACCGGAGCCCGATGTGTGAAACCCAGACGGTCTCGGCCAGAAATGTTCCAAGAACATTTCGCGCACACCACAGAAGGTTCTTAGAGCATTCCTTGGTGGGCCTATAGGCGAGCCAGGACGCTTCGCCACTGCTTGACAGAGCAACTGTTGTGTTACCTGCTCCTTTGTTGCACAATGCTTTTGTCATTTCCGGCGCCATCTGATTCCCGACTCCAATCTTAGAGCCGTATTCTTTTTGTCCCCCGCTTTCGGGAGCAAAGCATTTTCGCTTCCCGTTGTCATGCTCTAGGCTCAAGTCAGGCCTGTCCCCCTACAGGGGGATTTTGGGCAAAAGATCAAAAATACACCAAACGTGCACCCAAAATACTCAAAAATATTTTAGAAAATAGTCCCCAGACTATATTTTTACTGATTTTGGATGTTCCCCCTGTAGAGGGACAGGCCCAATTTAACTCTCGGAACAATCTGTCTGAAAGCCCCCCAACCAAAAACTGCCATGACGTTTCCAGGGCCCACTGGGGCCGCGCCCGTTCTCGTCCTGCGGGGCACCGGGGCTTGGATCGGCGTGGGGGGTGCTGCAGGGACATGCAGGGGGTTAATAAGTTATAAAGGGGATGCTAGGGTGGAACACATCTGGCCTAACCTAGCTTATAAGTGGGTTACAGCATGCCCCAAGTGCCTATTATGGGGGGGTGAGATGACGTCGATGAGTGGCCACCTGTGGCACTTGTTACCCGCTAACCGGCTAGGGATTTTAGCAATCAAGGCTGAGTGGGCTCTGCTCACTTAACGATGTGATCTAAACCCCGGAAGCCACTTGGGGCATGTGTATCCCGCTTATAAGCTAGGGTCGCCAGATCAAACAAAATTTGGCCTCCACTGATAACACTCCTAGCTCCTTATTAACCCCCGCGCCGATCCAAGGGGTGTACGCCTCAGCCCCGGAGCGACTTCACTTGGGAGACCGAGGCTGAACTGGCCGACACCCTGTGGACATCTGTTCCACACTTGGACATATGCCGAGATTTCGGACTCAGCGGCAGGATGAGGCGGAGTCTGATGTCAGGGTAGGAGACAGTCATAACTGAAAGACAACGCTTTCCAATGCTCCCCCAGCGCCGCCGGATCCTCGCACGCTGCCGCACAGTATCGACGCCCTGGCTGTGGATTATAAGCCCCGCTCTCCTTCGAGAGACCAGGCAAGGCCTGCGTGTGTGGAACATCCCTGCCTCTGCGGATCGGCTACAGCGAACCTAGGTAGCAAAGATGCGCGGTAAGGATGCAAGGGCCTTGGACGCCCATGCCGAGGTTCTTCGAGCGGGGTTTGGCCATCGAGAGTGGCCGAGGATGGACCGACGATGACCAGAGAGGCAAGGAGGCAAGGGGACCCTTGGAAACTTGCTCCTCCTGACTGTGCGGGTTGACTCTAACCCACGTGGGGAGCAGGAGGAGGGAGCAGGAGGAGAAAAAAGGGGCGGGGAGAGAGGGAGCATGAGGAGGGATGAGGAGGGAAAGAGGGGAGCAGGATCCAGGGCTGGGGATGAGAAGGAGGGAGCAGGACGAGGCTCGGAGGAGGGAAGGGGGGCAGAACCCTCTCGGCGCAGGTGGCTTAGGCAGTCTGTCTTCCCTCCCCCTCCCTCCCCTGCTCGGGCGAGGGGCCCAGGGCAGCCTCACGCCGGGCCAAGACAGCCGAGGATGGCCCGAGGAATCCACCGACAGCCTCTGGCCGAGCATGGCTCAAGATAGCCTCCAGGAGGCCTCAAGAAAGAAAGCGCGCCAGTGGATGTCCCTGAATACACAAAAGGGGTGTGCGTGCTCGCAGAATCCCCTCCCCCCCCCCCTCCCCCCTTCCAAGGGGGGGTGAGATTTTCGCCCCCCCCCCCTCCCCCCTTAAGGGGGGGGGGTCCGAACTTCCCCCCCCCCCAAGGAGGGGTTCCCCCCCCCCCTTGGGGAGATCCAGCGGCGCGCCCTCCTCAAGAATTGGCCAGGAAGGGGGCACGCAAAAGGACGCTAAGAGAGGGCAGCGGCCACGAGGAGATGGGCGAGGGAGCGCAACACGAGCTCGGAGCGAGGAAGAGGACTCGGGGGGGAAGAGCGGGAGGGGGACGGGCAGGGGACGGAGGACGTGGGGGAGCGCGGGCCCTGAGCTCCGACGTCGCGAGAAAAAACGCAACATCGCTAACAAGCAATTTGAGTCCCTGGTGCCATCTTTCGGTTCCATTCTTCTTCTTCTTCGAGGAGGAGGAGGAGGAGGAGGAGGAGGAGGAGGAGGAGGTGGAGAAGCCGGATCGGTCCGTGGTGGTCCCTGGGCTCGAAACTGGGCGAAGACGCCCGGTGTGAAAGAAACGAAGCGCCAGAGCCTCAGGGGGGAGTGAAGAGAAGGAGGACGACGAGGACGGGGGGCCGAGGGACCTCTCGGAGTCGAACGCCTCGGGAGGGAGGCGGCGCTCGCGATGCGGCGGACGTGGCGGGCCGAAGGCGGGGCGCGGTCTCCGATGCTGGGCGGCGTGGCCAGGTTGCGAAGCGTGAACATGGCAACATATCTCGAGTACAGGGAGGCGTCGACGTCCATTAGCTGTTGCCTCAGGAGGGGGGAAGAGGAGGAGAAGGAGGAGGAGAAGGAGGAGGAGGAGGAGGAGGAGGATAATATAGGGGAACGCAGGGCGATGGCAGCGTGAACCAAACCAATACCGAAACTGCAAAATACTAGCCAGCGTGGAACCCACACGATGTGGCTTTGGTAATCAATCTTGTGCCATCCATGGGGCGCAATATATGTGGTGCCATTGTGTTTTACCCATGAATGAAACATCCTATGCTCAAACATCCCACACACACCCGCAACATGGTTTGCAAAACTCATGCGGTGGCGATTCCGATGCATGCTTGGCGTTGGCTGGTACATCTCTGCGGCCGCGCCAACCCTAGCACGCGCGCGCAGCGGCCAGCTAGTTTGGCGCCACCGGCGCGGCCGCGGTGGCGCTGACCGCTGGGCGCATGCCGACTACGGTAGACGCGATGATGATAGTGGCGATGCTGGTGACGATGCTCGCACCGACGAAAGCGCGGCCAGTGCGGGCGCCGATGCTGATCACGCCGACGACGAGAGTGGCCCACATGGTTTCATTTGACATGAATCGTGCCCCAGCACGCGCGCCAGGGTGTGCGAATGATGTCGGCATGCGGCGCCAGAGGCCCGTTTGGTAGAATTCCGTGAAGAGGTTGAAAAACGCATGTTCTCCTTAATAATTCGCAAGAGAGCGCGCGCAAGTGTTTTGGGGAAAACTGATGTTGCGAAGCCTGGTGTTTTCGAATGTGAATTTTGCATTCGGTTTTGAAACCGCTACGATCCCTAAGGTGTTTGAAGGATTTTGGCATGCGCGCGCGACGACGCGCGCGTGTGCACTTCGTCACACGTTGTGCAAAAAGGTTCTCGCGACGGCATGCGCGCAAAGGCGTTCGAATGATTCCGACATGCGCGCGCGAAGCCCGTTTGGTAGGTAGTACGTTCTGTTCTTTTTCAGGAAAAGAAAACACTTTTCCCGTAAGAATTCGCAAGAACACGCACGCTATTTTTGAAAATCCGTGCTGCGAAACTTGGACACTCGATTCTGAAATCCTTCCGAAACCGAAGGTTTTTGAATGATTCCGGCATGTGCGCGCGACGACGCGCGCGTGTGCACTTCGTCCCATCTGTTGCAAGGGATTCTTGAAAGTTGATCATTGTTGATACACGAGTGCGAGCGCATAGCATTGTTTGCAGATGATGGCGGGGGGAGGGTCGATACCGGCTGGGCTGGGATGGTACGAATTCATATTTAGGATGGACGATGGGGCAAAATCGTATGAAACTTGCAATACGAAAATGTGGATCGAAAAAGCCAGGGGTGGGGGATCCTAAATCTGATCTAGAAGGGAGTCTACGTGGTGCAATCCATACTGGTGCAATATTTGTGGTGCAACCCAAGAAGGCCCCGGGTCGCCGAACGATCGCTCAAAGACGCCCAAGATGGCCTCAAGATGGCGCAAAAGGCTTCCAAGCCGCCCCAAGAGGCCTCCAAGAGGTCTCCCAATGATTCACCTTTGTTTCATCCGAATTTAATGTCATCTGTTTCTCATTTCATGCGATTACTTACATCCGTTAAATCTCATCCGTTTAATCACATCCGGTTTATATTTCATCCGGTTCACCTTTGCCCGGGAATAAATGCATCCGGTTATAATTCGTCCGGTTTAGATTCACCCAATTTTAATTCGTCCGGTTGTAATTTCCTCTGTGGGCCACTGTGTGGCCCGCGTTGACTAATTGATCCATTCAAACCTCCTCCACTTTTGATTCGTCCGGTGAAAATCCATCCGGTTTTCATTCGTCCGGTTTAGATTCATCCGGTTTTAATTCGTATGGTTTAAATTCATCCGGTTTTAATTCGTCCGGTTTGCGTTCGTCCGTTTTCGTTTAACTTTCGTTTGGTTTAAATTCATCCGGTTTTAATTCGCCCCGTTTGCATTCATCATTTTTTTTGATATTTCGCTTGGTTTAAAAATCATCCGGTGCACACGTCCGAGCAAGCAAATGCAACCTACGTGGTGCAATACATGTGGTGCAGTCGACGTCGTGCAGTGCATGCGGTGCAGTATTGACAGTGCGCCACCTGGCGCAGTCGAGGTTGTGCTAAAACAGGGCTAGGATCGGGATAAATCGCTCCAGAGCGTTCCAGAGCGCTCTCAGAGCGATCCGGAACGCTCTGGAGCGGCCGCGGCGCCCAATACATCCTCCAAACCCGCCGATTCTCAGAGATTTCGAATTATCCCGATCCGATTTTGTCCCGATCTTCGCGTCGTTTTATGTGCAGTCCAGGCGGTGACGGCACGGCGACGGCGCCCACGGCGCCGCCAGACCGCCCGCCGGGCGGAGACGACGGGCGGCGACGAGGCACCGACGGCCCGCGACGGCGACGACGGAGCCGCCAGACCGCCCGCCGGGGCCAGACGACGGGCGGCGACGAGGCGGCGACGAGGCGGCGACGAGGCGACGACGGAGCCGCCAGACCGCCAGCCAAGCCGAGCTCCTCAGACGACAAGTGCAAGCCCCTGAGTGCAAGCACTGGCCATCGCTCGGACGTCCACTCCCTGTGTTTTTTGTCGGTTTCGTGCGTGGTCTTTTCGCCAGATGGTCAAGGATGCTCCTCGATGGTCCTCGCCGAGGAAAAAAACGCACACGTCCGAGCGATGCCAGGCCGAGTGCAAGCACTGCTTGGGGAAATGGACATGTGCAACAGAGGCCGCAGCAGGAAGCAGGACGGCGGCCTTCAGCTTCATGGGCGGCCCAGGGAGGGCCAGGAGGAGGAGGAGGGGAGAGAGGGGGGAAGGGAGGAGGAGGAGGAGGAGGAGGAGGAGAAGGCGAGAGGGAGGGAGGGAGGAGGAGGAGGAGGAGGACTGGTGTGGACCCAAGACTCATGAACGATCTTGCAATGAACCCTACCTCCAAGCTCCCTTTACAAAGGCCCTTACAAGAATTCATGTTCACTAAGAGGAAATGCCCCGTTGGAAGACAGCCGTTTAAAGACAGGGAGCTGTGCCAGAGCACCATTCCTGAGACTTCAACGCTGCGGGTCGCTGCTCCTGCTGCGTCTTGACGGTCCTGAATCGTGCTAGGACACCAATCCTGGCACTTCAACACCGCGGATCCAAGTGTTTGTGGCGCCCTGGCATTCTGACGTCGTGCCAAAACGCCAGTTCTGGTACGTCAACCAAGCAAATACTTGAGCGCGCTGCAAACGCGGAGCTAAGACGAGAACCACATGTTGAAAACGGCCCGCTCTCCATCTGTGAACATCCCGCATCGGTTAAACGAACGTGCATGCCTTCAAGCGAGAACCTGATTCTGCAAGCCGCCCGTCCTCCATTCGTGGAGCCCTTGCAAACTTTCAACACGAAAGTGCGGGGCGCTAAGGCGAGAACCACATTTTGAAAGCAGCCAGCCCTCCACCCGTGAAACTGCTGCAAACTTTCAGCTTCAGGACCGCAATGGTGAGGAAGTATCAAGCAAGACGCCCGGCCCGCCATTTCGCCCAACCTCGGGGTGCGACAGGAAGGATCTATACTTCAAAGGAACAGAAGGGGAGGAGGAGGAGGAGGAAGAGGAGGAGAGCGGGGAGCAGTAGCCAGGGAGAGGACGGATCGCCCGAGAGCTTCTTGGTGGGTGCAGCGTATTGAAATGACCGTCTGACGAGGAGAAGTGGCGGACACGGAAGCAGAGGCTGGACGAGGAGAAGCAGAAGCAGCAGGCGAGTAGGGGGGGCGAGAGGGGAGGAAAAGCAGGAAGAATGAGAGGGGGAGCATGAGGTGCCAGGCAAATGAGAGCGGTCAGCAGTCGCTGTAGAAAGCCAGGGAGGGGGAGAAATAATAAGATGATGACGATACGCGGCTGGGGCATGGGGATTGGTCACATAAAAAACGACCATGAGCGTGATGACCTTCGAAAAACAGCGACATATATAGGAGAAAGCAAGAAAGCGGGGAGTACACAAACAAAAAGGGGGACGAAGCAGAACCTGCTCATCCTGGACCGCGTTGAAGTAGGAACATGATGGAGTGGAAAGGTATGGGCATGACCGCAAGTGACGCTGGCTGGTTTCTTCCACTACCGCAGCAACAACAACTACTACTACGACTATTACTACTACAACTGCTACTACTACTACTACTACTACTACTACCACTACTACCACTACTATTACTACTACTACTGCTACTACTCCTACTACTACTACTACTCCTACTACTACTACTACTACTACTACTACTACTACTACTACTACTACTACTACTACTACTACTACCACTACTACGACGACTACAGCTACTACTACTACTACTACTACTACTACTACTACTACTACTACTACTACTACGACTACGACTACGACTACGACTACGACTACGACTACGACTACGACTACGACTACGACTACTACTACTACTACTACTACTACTACTACTACTACTACGACTACGACTACGACTACGACGACTACCACTACCACCATCACCACCACCACTAGTACTTGCTGGATCTGCCACCAAGAACTTACACGACACGTGCGAGCAACGCTACTAACAACACTTCCACTGTTACCTATACGTGGACGAATACCAGTACCAGGCGCGTTCCTTTGCCAATTGCGTTCGTGCGCGCACCAAACCAACTCTGTTCGCGACGACCACGATAGCGATGAAGGCGCTGTGTCTGCACAACAGCTCCTTTTTTTGCCCGGCACACTCCCGAGATGGGCGCCGGAGGCGCCGCCAGGAGGCGTCCAGCTCCGATCCAAGAAATCCGCGCCGAGCTCTGAAAAGTTAAATTTGTGCAATTCCCCGTTTGGGATACCGATGTCGCGGTGCGCTCTGGCAAAGATGCGGGGGGTCGCTAAGGCCAGGATGTGACCGCGGAAACCACGGACCTCTCCTGGGGTACGCTCTGGTGGCGAACCCAGCGGTAGCGACGAGGGTCTCCCGGGGGGGGGGGGGGGGCACAGAGGCGAAATCGAGGCAGGGTTAGTGGCATGGGTAGTGCCTCCTCCCCAGACACCCGGCGTCGTCATTTTTCGCAGCGTCGACCCGAGGATGTCTCGACCCCTTCCCCAGGGACGGTTTTTTATCCCGAGTCGTTTCTTGACGGTCCCGAAGCCCAGGGAGGGCCCCCGAAGACCGAGCATTGCAAAACAACTCCCGTCGTGATTCTTCACAACGCGAGGGGTCTGGGTATGGGTACCTGTTCCTCCTCTGACCGTTGTCGACCGTCCTTGGGCGTGAGCTCCGCTCGCCCTCGCCGTGCTCGAAGGGCGCAGCTCTCGAAGAAGGGTGGCGCGCGCCCGCCTCAGCCGCGGGACGTCGGCTTCCGTCGCGCCGGGCTCTCCGAGGGCGGGGTCGAAGCTCCGGTGCTGGCACGCGCACATCTTCGTGCGGTCC